ATTATTGAGATTGAGCTCCTTTTCATATTGGTGATTCTTCTTCTGTAAAATGACTGCCTGTTTATATATTTTGCCCATTTTTCTATTTAGTTGTCTTCTGATTTTTTTGAAGTTCTTGAATCTGGACAGTAATTCTTCTATGATTAATTGGTTGTAAATATGTTTTCCCAGTTTACAGTTTGTCTTGTCATGGTCTTTGTGGTATTTTTTGATAAATACAAGTTCTTAAAGCAGTTAGATTTTTTTCCTTTTTCGAGATAGGGTCTGACTCTGTCACCCAGGCCAGAGTTAAAGTAGTTAGATTTATCAATCTTTTATTTTATGGCTTATGCTTTTGTTTTAAGAAAATTTTCCCTATTCAGATGTCATAAAATGATTCTCCTATATTTTCTTCCAAAAGTTTGAAAGATTTGCCTTTCATATTTCAGCTTTTTATTCACCTAAAATTTTTTTTTGCATATGATATCATTGTATTAGTTTCCTATGGCTGCTATAACTAATTACCACCAACCTAGCAGCTTAAAACAACATAAATTTATTATCTTACAGTTATGGAAGCTAGAAGTCTGAAATAGTTTTCACTGGGCTAAAATCAAGATGCCAGCAGAGCTGCATTCCTAGGGGAGAATTTTCAAGTTTTTTTGTTTCCAAGTTCTACAGGGTGCTGGCTTATGGCCCCATTTCATATTGAAAGCCAGCACTCAGTCAGGCGTGGTGGCTCATGCCTATAATCCCAGCACTTTGGGAGGCCGAGGTTGTCCCTGAGTCCAGGAGTTCCAGACCAGCCTGGGCAACATGGTGAGATCTTATTCCAAGAACAACAGAAAAAAAAAAAAAAAAAAAAAAAAAAAAAAAAAAATTAGCGGGCACATAGCTGTAGTCCTAGTTACTCAGGAGGCTGAGGCAGGAGGATCACTTGAACCTGGAAGGTCAAGGGTGGAGTGAGATTCTATCTCCCCTCCCCCAAAAAAAAAACCAAAAACAAAAAAACGTGGCTGGTTGCATCCTTGCATGGCATCACTCTGACACTGAACTTCTGCTTCCCTTTTTCATGTAGAAGGTTCCTTGTAATTACATTGAGCCCACGGAGGTAAACCAGGATAATCTCCCTACTTCAATATCCTTAAATTAGTTGCATCAAAATCCTTTAGGCCACGTAAGGTAACATGCCCATATGTTCAGGAAATTAGGATGTGGACATCTTTGGGGAAACATTATTTTGCCTCCCATTATAATCAATTGATTCAGCACAACTTCTTGACTCAGTTCTGAACCTGGGTTCAGAGGGACACTGGTCTGGTGACTATAATAATAGTAACAACAAACACTTGTGCCAAGAATGTTTCTAAGCATTGTATGCATATTATCTCATTTAATTTTCACCACACTTTGTACTAAGTGCTACTATTATTCCTAGCTTAAAGATATTTAAAGTGAGGAACAGAGAGGTTAAATACTTTGCTGAAGATAGGAAGCAGCAGTGTTTGACTCAACCCCAAGTACCTGAGCTTCAAAGTCCATGTGCTTAGTTAGCACCATGCTATTTTTTTTAATTTTATTTTTTGAGTCTCATTTTGTCACTCAGGCAGGAGTGTAGTGATGCAATCTTGACCTCCTGGGCTCCAGTGATCCTCCTGCCTTAGCCTCCCAAGTAGCTGTGACTACAGGTGTGCACCACCATACCTAGCTAATTTTGTTATTTTTTGTAGAGATGCTATGTTGCCAGGGCTGGTCTTGAGCCCCTGGGCTCAAGAGATCCTCCCACCTCAGCCTCCCTAGCTGTGACTACAGGTGTGTGCTACCACGCCCAGCTAATTTTTGTATTTTTTGTAGAGACAGGGTTTCACCATATTGCTCAGGCTGTTCTCGAACTCCTGAGCTCAAGCAATCCACTTGCCTCAGCCTTCTAAAGTGCTGAGATTACAGGCGTGAGACACTGCGCCCAGCCTACCATGCTATTTTTAAATGAATAAACAAAGTGGATAAATCTAGTTTCCCTTAGCTGTGTGTTCATGACTAAGTCACATAAATTCTCTGAGCCTCAATTTCATTATTTGTAAAATTAGAATAGTGATGCAGCTTTTCTGCATTCCACGGGGATGCTTTGAGGGCACGTTGAGACAACATGCATGAAAGCAGTTCAGATAAGGAAAACAGAGATCCAAGAGTCATTCTGCCACATGTCACTGGCAGAGCCAGGACTGGGACTCAGGTTTCCTGGCAGCCAGGCTGGGCAGGCTACTTCCATCACAGAGTGGTAATTAGAGCAGTTACAGATTCCAGTCATCAAATTGAACATTTTCCCTTCATCAACCTCCTGCCCTGGAACGACCAACATTAAAGCTATATCTGTATATTCAATCAACTGTTCATTAAGAACGTCCTCCAGTTTTAGATGATACTTTTACAAAACCCAAATGTGAGATAATACTTCTTAGCTAGAATAGGGTAAAGTTGACAGGTAATATTTTGTATCATTTACAAATCAAAAGGCACAGAATTTCAGAAATTGACAGAAAGGGGAGGCTGTAAGATATTTGCTTAGGAAAACCACCTCCTCATGTGTTTGCCTCTTCTCCATCCTCATCCCATCATGTTTCTGTCCTCTTCTACTTCCCTTCACTTCTCCTTAGTAAAGTAGGGATTAGAAAACCTGAATTTTAGCTGTGGGCATCATTACTGACCATTTTGCTTTGAACTTCAAAGGCAAAATTGAAAAACAAAAGAGCCAAGAATGGGAAATTCACTCTACTAGATCTTAGGATGTATAATTAAGCCATAGCAATAAAATCAGCACAGCACTAGCACAGGAACAGATCTAGATCAATAGAATAGCAACAAGAACTCAGAGACAGACGTGTGTGTCTCTAGGGCTTGGCATATGATACAGATGCCATCATGCATCGGAGGGGGAAAGATGGATTGTTTGGTGGTTGCTGCTGGGAAAACTGGTTCACTAAATAGAGTTAATAATTATACTGTATTCCTACTCACACTGTATGCAAGGTGAACATCAGATGGATTAAGACCTGTGACAGGTAAAAGTATGAAGCCAAATAGGGGAAAATGTAGGAGAATATTTTGCAACTAATAGGTGGGAAAAGATTCTTAAACAAGACCCCAAAACCACACTCCACAAGGCTAAAATTTGATGCATTAGGCTAAATGAAAATTAAGGATTTCTCCTTCATCGTACCATAGCAAAGACCAAGCAAACAGGATGCATGAAAGATTGAGAGAAATATTGGCAATGTTTTTCTAAAACTGACAAAAAATTAATATTTAGAACATATAAGAAACTCAACTGCTAAAATTCATTCAGAAAAAATAATAAAATCCAGCAGAAAATAGGTAAAGGATGTAAATAGATAATTCACAGAAGGAAAACAATCTCGACGGTTCTTAAGTATATGGAAAAATGGTTAACACCACCAATCAAAGAAATACAAATGGAAATTACAATGTGATACTACTTTACTGATTTCAGATTGACAGAAATTAGGACATCAGATAATACCAAATGTTACCATATAAAATGGGAAACGGGTACCTTCCTACCTTCATGTGCCATTGGTGGGTGTGAATGGCAAAGCCATCTGGAGGGCAACATGACAGAGTGAAACCAAATACTGTGGACTTCATGACCCAGGGACTCGATTTCTTATGTTCTGTAAGGGACACGTCTAACACCCATTCCAGCATAGTCTGTGGTAGCAAGGACCTGCTGGCGACCTAATTGTCCGTTATTTGAGGAATTGATAAGTAGAATATGATAGACACACAAATCAAATACTATTATTAGTCATAAATAATGAACTCTGGTTGTATAGTGTCACATGGATAGATCTCTAAGACACTGAGAGAAAAACAAGGAACAGAATGAGTTCTTATCACAATGCCGTTCACGTATGTTAAAAACAGACACAAACCATGTATCTTTTGAGGCTGTATAAGGTGCATGAACTGGGACATACCTTAGTAGAGGAGAGGGTGTATATGGCGGGTAGAAGAATGGGTGTGGAGAAGGAACGAGTGGAAAATAAAAACGAAAAAGAAAAGGGCCTTACTGACTGACTGACGAGCTGGAGTACGAACATAACTTGTCCCTAAGGTCCAAAAAAACCGCCCCAATTCCCCTTCCATCTCGTCCCATTCTTAACAGAACCAAGTGCAAGGGACTCAGCGTGACTGTCCAGAGCAGGGCTTCTCTTCACCAACGACCTAGGTCCTCTTCCCTCTACCCACCTCGCCAAGCCCTCGGTGCCCGAGCCCCGAGCTCTACTTTGACGGCACTTCTCAAACACAACCAAACACACCCAGGCTTCAACCCCAGACGGGCTTGCTTTTATTATTTCTTTTGGGAAAGCTAAGATTCAGTTTAAGTGACTCTTCTCCGGGAGGCCTTTTCCGAATGCTGCCCTTGCCCAAAAGCCAGCCCCTCCAGGGCTGTATTCCCACAGCCCCCTCCCCCGTCAGCCCAGCACCCCGCGTTCTAACTGCTTATTTTGGGCACTCAGCGCTCCCCTTAGGGCTGGAGTTGTGTTAGGGGGGTCTCTGGGTTCGCGACCCGCCAGCTGGGGTGGGCGGTCCTGGGAATAACCGGACAGTTAGTTAAGTCAGCAGGTGCAGCCGCAGCCCAGCCAGCTCACTCTCCTCTGCTTCCGCTCTCATTGGCTCAGCCTCCCCGCCCCCAGGCCCCGCCCCCAGCCCGCCTCAGCCAGCTGCTGGAGGCAAAAGGCTCTGCGCACGCGCCGTGGGGTGGGGCGCCCTTGGTTGGGGGCGGACGGGGGTTTAGGAGGACAGCGAGGAACGGGCGCAGAGGGGTGGCGGGGCCGCCGCGTCGTTGCGCGGCAGTTGCGTCCTGCCTCGTGCGCGCGGCACCCGGGAGGGGGCGGGGCCGAGGTGGGCAAGGTGGCGGGCCACCGCCCCTGGCCCCGCCCCCACAGCCCGCCCGCGCGCCTCGCCCCGCCCCCTCGCCGGGCCCGCCCCGCCCCCTCGCCGGGCCGTGCTCTTGCTCCCGCCGCCCGCCAGCCTCACGCTCGGCTCCGGCGGCCAAGAGCGGGAGAAAGTCCTGCTGGTGGGCGGCCGCGGGGCTGAGCGCGTCCGGCATCCCGGGGCCGCTCCGGCCCGGGCGGCGAGGGTGCCCGGCGGTCCATGCATCCGCCGCCGTCCGCCGCCGCGATGGATTTCAGTCAGAACAGCCTGTTCGGCTACATGGAGGACCTGCAGGAGCTCACCATCATCGAGAGGCCGGTCCGCCGGAGCCTCAAGGTGCGCCCCGGGGAGAGGACCTGCCCTCAGGGCGTCCGGCCGCCTGCCCCGCGCTGATCTCCGCCCCACCCCACCACCCTCCCCTCCTTCGGGCCGCCGGGACCCTCTCGGACCGGCCCCTCCGTCCTCCTCCAGCCCCTGTTGCCGTGCCGCCCTAAGCCAGCTCCTCCCGGACCCTTCCTCAGCGCGGACCCAGTCCTCTCTAGTCTGGACCCCCATCCGCAAGGGACGGGTCCCTGCCCCAGCCCCGACCCGGCGCCAGCCCCGCGGCCCTTGCCCCTTCTGAGGCGTCCGAATCCCCCCGGCTCACCCCCAGGAACGGCCGAGCCCCAGCCCTCGGGGCAGCCCCAGCGTCCTCAGTCGCGGACCCCCTTCCTTCCGCCCCCCGCCCCACCCCGCGGGAGCTGCCCCTCGAGGCCGCAGCCCACCTCTACCCGGTCCTCTCCTGGGCTCCCCAACCTCTGGTCCGCTGACGCCGCCCGGGTTCTGGCCCCAGGCCCACCCCTCGGTCCACACATTCCCGACTCCTCCCCCCACCTCTCCCCGAGACACCACCCAGCGTCCCGTCCGCTCACCCCCAGCCCACCAAGTCAGATCAAGCTCGGGTCCCTCTGCCCTCGAGGCAGCCCGGCCTCCTCTCGCTTCCCAGCCAGCACCCTTTCTCAGTGTGGTCCTGGTCCCCGTCTACAAGCCCTCGCGACCCTTTGCCGCCCTCCTGAGTCACCGCGCATCCTTTCCTCCCAACCCCTCCAGGACTCTAGCTGGGACCCTGCTCCCCAATCCCTTGAGGGAGTCAACCTTCAGCTTGCTCCCCCCACCCCCACCGGCTCTCCCACCCCGCAGAGTCATCTTCCTCCCAGAGGCTCCAACCTTTAGCGCCAGCAAACCTAGTTTACGGACAGGACCCCTTTTCCCTGGCCATCGCTTAATTAGCTGCTTTAGCTCCTCTCACTCCCACCTGCCGCAATATCTCAAATCTCTGGTTTCTTCCAGCCCCAGAGTTGATTTCCTTCCCTCCCCCACTCCAGATCTTGTCCTTTTCATGCCTGCTCGGCTGCAGTGTTCATCCATCCCCCTTTTAGCATTTCTTGGGGTGGAAAATGCTGGAGAAATAGCCGTGAGGTATTAGAGATAAAAGTGTGTGTATTTATTCGTTTTATAACATGCGTATGAAATGGATTTCAGCCAAGGTTCTGAAGCCACGATGCGATTTTCAAGCTGCAATCCAGAAGCTAGAAGGATAAAAACAGAAAAAAAACAGTCCCCTCCCCAAATTCGACCACCCAATTAGAGACTTCCGTGATTGATGTCGCCTGGTATCCTCAGCTCCTTGATTAGTTTTCATTGTTAATGCTTAATTGTGAAACTTTTTCATTCGTTTATCCTCATAGAGGGTCACTGGGAGGTTGGGAGGCAAGACTGACCCAATGTTTGTGGTGCATAAATGTGTATTTTACCCTTGACAGACACCAGAAGAAATAGAAAGATTGACAGTCGATGAAGACCTCAGTGATATTGAAAGGGCTGTTTATCTGCTCAGGTATTTCCTAGTCTTTCTGTGAAATTGCTCTTTTTTTTCCCCCTGTGGCAGCAGAGATCAATGCTTTCTAAAATGTATGTTCCCGTTATGTTCAGATTTACTTAGCCACTTGAACAGAGTACTTTTGTGTGCATAGTACTTAACTATATTATACATTAGATTTGGCTGTGGACTTATGAATTTGAGAATTTAAATAAAACACCTAATTTATAGAATGTTGCTTGGAGGAGGAAGAGCAGATGGTTTGAGTTGAACCTCATCCTTTTTTTCTTTTCTGGCATTGGTTTTTCTCACTTAAGATTCAGTAAGTTTAGATGAGACTTGAGTATACAAGGATTAGTTTTAAGTTCATTGTAGAGTAGGCACATTATATGGGATCTACTATATGGAAAAAAATCCACAAATATGGTAGTTCATTTTGCTGTTCAGGATATCCTGTTTGTAGTACTTTTGCTATGCAAGCTTTATGATTTTGTCTGAGGGGTTTTGGAAACTTAGTTGATTTCAAACCATTTCACAGGCTCTACAGAATTGCTTAAGGCAAATGGTTACTGCGAATATTTACAAGATTTTTCTGAACTATTTAAAACATTGTCTTGTAGATTGAGCATCTTAAAAACTAGTACAGTGACCATTAATGATGTTTTAATTGATTAAAATCCTTTAGAAACAAATTTCCTACAGCATTTTGTGTATATTTAAAATTTTTCATTAGCTTACACAACATATTTTTCCCTTTTGGCAAATTAGTCACTCTTATTTTCCAGAATCAGATTTTGAAAACTGATGTAATTTACCTCCTAGGATATTTGTCATCCTTGTTTCCTTAGCTCAGTGCCAGTTCCAGGTACTGGCAAGTTTCTTGTTCTCCTTTCTTGTTTACAGATCATGTTTCCAGTCCCATGTTATTCATTGAATGATCCTGTAAAAACAAACAAACAAACAAACAAAAACTCCCTCTCCAGGTCTTCAATTTTCTTAATTACTTTTTTTAGCCTACTAAAAGTGGCATCATGAGTTTCTGTTGTAACTTTAGTCAGAATATCAGCATATTTACCATGTAGACCATTCCATCTGATAATTGTATCATTTAGAAATGTAACTGCATCTTAGACTTAATGTTGATGTTATTTTCCCCCTCTTTGTGATAGCTATGGTACATGCTCTCATCATTTCTACCTATTTACTTCAGAGAAAACTTCTGTTTATATATGAATTCAACGGTGTGTGTTTTGGGTGTTTACTTAGAGAATAATCCAACTTTTAACCGATTTTCATATTTTATTGTGTTGTATTTGGAATACTTTATTCCTTAATAATTAACACATTTATTATGGTGAACAATAGTTGTCAACATTTGCCTATTCCCACAGTTCTTTTACTCAAAGTAGGTAGAAAATTGATGAAAGTGTGGATAAATGTGTTTAAATCTACAACAGTTAATGATTTGAAATAACCTCCTGTTTATTCCTACTGAATTTTCTTTAGTACAAACACTGGCTTAGAATTAGGAAATGGAGAGTCTTGCTCTATTTACTTGTGATAGAAGACACCGTATTCTAGATATCAGTGATAAGCCTTTTTTTTAAGGAAAGCTTATTTGTTTTCTATTTTGCTTTTATTGTTTGTTAGCAAACCAGGTTGTCTGAGTTGTCTTTATTTCTTAGACTCAACATAAGTTTCGCTCAGTTCTGGAATTTACAAAGCCCTTATAGAGACAGATGGCCCCTCTTATTCTTAGACAAGAGAATTTTAAAAGAGATTCAATATCTCCTTTAGTTTCTTGTGGCTCACCTACCTTGAAGGAGGTTTGCAAGGTGACTCAGAAGGGGAACACTGGTTTGGTTGTGTATGGGTTCTCCAGCTGAGTTCTTCTTTTGTATCCTTAACATCTTACCACCTCCTGGGGGAATGTGGGATTTCACCTTAGTCCAGCTTTGGGAGGGATGATGCCAAGAATGCTTGAAAGGGTCTTTCTTCCCTGGGATTCAGGGGAGGAGACAGGATCGTTTCATAGAGATGTTCCGAACTTTGCCTCGGTTTAGGCCTTCTCATCTTCTCTCATGTATTGAACCTGCTATTGTAAATGTAATTTATTCCTTTTTTTCATTTGTACTTTGCTGAGTCCTTTTTTCCCTCTGTCAGTGATTTTCAGGTTTATTTTTGAGCACTTTACCTTTTCCTCTGCATTGAATATTATATAAATGTATAATATGTAACATATTTTTTCTCTTGGCTTTTATGTGTCAGGTTTGTTTCTTTAGTTCTTTTATTTTGTATATTAAAACTATTTTGGAGTATTATGTTAAATTAGAATTCAAAGTCAGATATGTAAGCATCAGTAAGCAATGCTTTATATTAGTGGAGTTTCTGGTAGCACTTAGATTGAATCCATTATCTGAAAAAAGCATTATATATAATATAGAGTACTATCATCAATGAAAAACAAATTATACTGTTCATTATCTTACCCTGAAATATGGCAAGTCATTTATTAATGACATTTTCACAATTAAGTTTAGAATATTACAGTCTTCAAAGATTTGACACAGATGAATTTGTGGTTTTGCACACATATGATGCTGCTATACCCATCTGTGGCATTTAGCACTGAAGCAAAACAACTTTCCTAATAGTCCCAGCTTGTGTCTTAGTCAAAATCATATCTTTTTCCTGTTCTTTCTCTTCTTTGTGATTTTGCATATATTTTTGGAATGTACTTAAAACATGTGAATGATTTTGTTATGGAAGAATCCTAAGTATGTATACTGTGCTTTCATTAGGTAAATCTTTACTTGTATATTTCTGACTGCCTACCAGATAAAGTGTAGACCCTGAAGCCTGGCATTCAGAATACTCCATAGTTGACTCTATCTTAGCTGTGCAATGTGATGTCCCACCAGTCCCCCACTTTTAAAAATGGCTTTATTGAGATATAATTCATAGTCCCTGTAGTTCACTCATTTAAACTGAATAGTTAAGCAGGTTTTAGTATATTCACAGAATTGTGCAACCATCACCGCAATCAATTGTAGAACATTTTTGTCACCCGCAAAAGAAACTTTGTACTTTTAGCAGTTACCCCTCAATACCAACCCTCTCAGCCTTTGGGAACCATTCTGCTTCCTGTATATATGGATTTGCCTATTCTGGACATTCCTAAACATGGGATCATACAGTATGTGGCCTTTTGTGACTGACTTCTTTCACTTAGCATAATGTTTTCAAGGTTCACACATGTTATAGCAGGCATTAGTAGTTTATTTCTTTTTGTTGCAGTGTAGTATTCTACTGTATGGATATAGCACTTTTGTTTAGCCATTCATCAGTTGATGGATATTGAGTTGTTTCCACTTAATTCTTCACTTTTTGATTCAGTCATGCTGGCCTTTTCATTGTTACTCAGTTTCATTGTGTTTATCCTTAACTTTTGCTTTTGCTCATCCTGGAGTACTCTTTCAGTATATCCCTATCCAACATATAGCATCTCTAGGATCCAGCTATAATCTTACATGTTTCATAAAGTCTTCCCTAACTGCTTAAACCACATGGATCCCAGGCTTCTTTGATCTCCCTTATCACTTAGTGGCGCTTTCTTCAATTGGCCATTAATCATTGATTTATATTCCTTAACTGTGTGTACATGTTTTCTTCAGTAGATTGTAAGGTCCTGGAGGACAAGCTTTTAGAGGACAAGGGCAAGCTTTCTTGTTGTTCTTTCTTGTTCTTTGCTGTGATACAAATACATACCTCTTAATGGAATAAAGAGTATTTAAGATGACCATACTGCAAGATGAATTAAGCAACTTCTGATATTTTTAATTTTAGGTATTATGGGTCATATCTTCTTCTATAACTTGTTATCTATGTGACAGTGGTCAAGTTAGTTATGGTTTTCGAGGCCTGCTTTTCATTTGTAAAGCGGAAATAATAATTCCCTTTTCCCAGTGTGGTTGAAGCACCTGGCACATGATAGGCATCCCATTACTGTTAATTCCCTTCTGTCTCCTTTTCCCTTTCCCTACTTCCTTGCTACTTAGGTGCTCAAGTTACATTTAAAACTTTAAAAGAGGATAATGGTATTAATTTTGCCTTCTAATAATTTAATAAACAAAGTATACCAACTGAAGTTTGTGATAGATGTCCATTAACTTCATTTGCTAATAGTATTTATCAGAAATTAGAATCTTCACAAATCATAATTAAGCATTTTTAACTGAGTAATAGTAAGGTCAGCCTGTTGATTTATATTTTCTTAACAAATGACCCTAAGTAATATTTGCTGTTATGCATTAAATGTGTTGATTGGTTAATGTACTGAGCCTAGCTTTTATGTTGCTTACTTTTAAAGTCATTTGTGACTTTAAAACTATTTTCACTTTGTGCTGTGAGTTTTAAATCATTTTGCACTTTGCTTTCCCGGGACAGTCAGATAAAGAGCTTTGCTTTTTTTTTTTTTTTTTTTTTTCCTTTTTTCTTTTTTAAAGACAGGGTCTCACTCTGTTTCCCAGGCTGGAGTGCAGTGGCTATTCACAGGCACAGTCATAGTGCTCTAACTCCTGGGCTAAAATGATCCTCCCACCTCAGCTTTCCGAATACCTGGGACTACAGAAGGCACATACCACCTCCACAGCCACTGCCCCCATCATAAAGTGCATCTGTAATTGGAACGTTTTTTTTTAAAACTTTCTCTTATTATTTTTTAAAGAGTAAGTGCTCCCCCTAGTGATATGAAGGAGTGAGATTTCTGCAGTCAAATCAGTGGAAATAAACAAGTGTTGTACCATGTGAGAACTCTGGCGTACTTCCTGGGTTCAAGACTAGGATAGGGTAGCAATGAGATAGTGAGGAAGAATTCTAGTGTTTAAAGCTTTGCTACCCACCTAGCTTTTAGTTGTTTTATCTTTTAAAATACCTATCTTATTTGCTATCCCACAGTGGAAAGTTGTGTGGAAAACTCCTTTGAATGCCCTCATTTTTAAGACCTGTGTCCCACATTT